GTCATTAACTCTGGAGACGGTTTCTTCCTGCTTGCGCAAGCCGTTATCTCTAGTACATAACAAATTACATAGGCCCATGTGTCATTCTTGACTCCAACCAGACCAGCAATTATTTCTATCAGAATGTCATTACCATAAATGATCTGTGTAAAGACCATTATTGTAAATATTCGAATAGGAAATGATTTCTAGTCCTATATCATATACTAAATGTCTTGATAAAAATGAATGCTAGGTGAAGAGTTAAATACACAGCTGAATATAAACAAGGAGGCTGTTTTACCTACCAGAAGATTTGAATGTCTGTCCATCCAGTTCTGAGATTTACACAGCTCTGTTGCAGATCAGAGCCCTGTCCGTTTTTCTCTGAGGCAGACAGGTAACATTTACAGCTCTGTAGAGTGGGCGGAGAAGCAGAACGATGAGCTCACCTCTCTGTCACTGTGCATGTCACTTGTTAATGCATGTACTGCAGCACAACGGGTTGGCTCCTTGTGCTACTTCTGTCTCCCGGTCTGAGCTCTGCTTTATAGGGGATTGTAAGAGACTAACACTAGGCCAAATTCAGGTACTTACATTTTAAATATATCTAAAGTCCAAAAGTTTGTATCCTATAATGAATATAGTAGAGAAAGGTTTAAACCCTGTCACATTTTTATGTCATCTGTGTCCCTTTGGCCAGATTTCCCTTCACTTTCTGTTTTTTTGACAAAATAGGAAGTGAGAGAAAATCTCCCCTAAATGAGGAAAATCAATTTCTATTAGTTGCTTTCCTTTCTTCTATTAAATATACACTCTAAAATATTTTGTTACCAGTTAAAACTGTTCCCAGCTGTCTCAGTATACTACATAACCCCTCCAGCCTATGTTATAGAGATGAAGACAGGTGGAGGTGTCCTGTAGTCATGTCCTAGGGCAGCCTTTCTCAACCAATGTGGCACAGCACCCTGGGGTGCCTCCTGGCTTCCTCAAGATCTTACACAATGTTATGTTTTGTATGTTGCAGGCAGGCTGGCTGTCAGCACCATGTAAACAAAGGACACCAATCCAGGGAGGGTGGGATCGATTCAGAAAAGGAAGGAAGTTCGCCTCCTACCATGTTGCTGCTGCTGCGGCTCGCAATAGGATGGGAGGACTGAGGACTCTGATGTGAAGGGGGCACTCAAATATAAAAAGAGGGCTCTGATGTAATGGGGGGCTGATTGTGAAAACCTAATGTAAGAGGGGGGCTTTTGATGTGAAGAGGGCTCCTGATGTGTAGGGGGGCTTCTGATTTGAAGGGGGGAGTCCGATGGGGTGGGGTGCCTTGAGATTTTCGATACTTTTAGGGTGCTGTGACTAGAAAAAGGTTGAGAAACACTGTCCTAGGATGATTACACTTCTCCTCCATGATAAAATGACGGTGAAGTGTACAAGCCTTACATCACCAAGTGCAATGCAAAGGGTTGTATGCAGTGGTGTAAAGCACGCTGCCACTGGACTCTAGAGAAGTGAAGACATGTTCTCTGGAGTGATGAATCACACTTCACTGTCTGGCAATCCGGTGGATATGTCTGGGTTTTATGATCTCCCAGGAGAACGGTACTTGCCTGACTGCATTGTGCCAAGTGTTAAGTTTGGTGGAGGGAGGATTATGGTGTGGGGTTGTTTTTCAGGGGTTGGCCCCTTAGTGCCAGTGAAGGGAACCCTTAAGGCATCAGCGTACCAAGACATTTTGGACAATTTCATGCTCCCAACTTTGTGGGAACAGTTTGGGGATGGTCCCTTCCTGTTCCAACATGACTGCGCACCAGTGCACAAAGCAAGGTCCATAAAGACATGGATGAGTGAGTTTGGGGTGGAGGAACTACACTGGCCTGCACAGAGTCCTGATAGAACACCTTTGGGATGAATTAGAACGGAGACTGCGAGCCCGGCCTTCTCGTCCAACATCAGTACCTGACCTCACAAATGTGCTTCTGGAAGAATGGTCAAACATTCCCATAGACACGCTCCTAAACCTTGTGGACAGCCTTCCCAGGAGAGTTGAAGCTGTTATAGCGGCAAAGGGTGGGCCAACTCAATATTGAACCCTACAGACTAAGACCGGGATGCCATTAGAGTTCATGTGTGTGTAAGGTCAGGCGTCCCAATACTTTTGGCAATATAGCGTACATTTTAACTAAAAAGCCACTAACTGACCGGTCATCAGCTTGGTATGAGTAAGATACATGAGCCATCAAATGTAAATGCTAAAGCTCAGCCAGCACTGTCGTTGTGGGTAGAGACTAGTGATGAGCCGAACACCCCCGTGTTCGGTTCTAACTCAGACTTGGCTCCAGAAAGGGTGATGCAGTGAGAGGATGTGTTTAATGGATCAATGGAAATGGACGCTGTATTACATTTGTTGTGTTTATACTTTACTATCAACAACAGAAGGTGGTGCGGTGTTTCAGCACGTAGATCATTTTGAAACAATAATTGCTTTAAATGGTTTTTAATTATCATCAATATAGATTATGCATTTCTGCTTTACAATGATGGTGTTGGCATATAGAAATACATTATAATTTACATCTGAAGTGTCTCCCCTTAAGCAGCTAAAAATAAAAGTCATATAATTAATATAGATTAGTACAATACAAACCAATACAATCTGTGAGCAGCCGAGTCTGAGCAGTGATATTGTTTTCTTAGCAGTTAACATTCCATTTAGTTTTGGCCTTATGTGGTTATTGTTTATAAACATGTGCTTCACGCAAATATTTTAAATACATGTGATAAAAACATCTAGTAATAAAAAAATATGTTTATTTGTGCAATTGAACCTATATTGATATTTTAGCATAAAGCTATTCTAACAGTCTTCTAGATAGATAAAAAGTAACAAGAGACGTAAAGTGGACCTTTACCCCCTTTCACTAAAAGAGGCACAGCTCTGCATTCTGATATGAAATCATATTACATTCATTAGTTAAACAAACATATTTTTTTTTTTACAATGACAGTTTTTTCACTACCTGGCCCTCTTTGGCACAAATGATGTAATGTGCCCAATTGTTGCTTCCTGGGAAGGTTACATCAGCAGAGCACTGCTGGGAAATCTGATCTGTAATCTCACCAGACATTTCCCTCCCCCGAGATGATGTGCATGGTCACATGACCTAGTCACATGTGCCAGAGTTTCAGGAAGTAAAGAGAGATCTATTAATCTGCCCTTAGTAAAAATGGCCACTGTCAGGAGACTGGGGAAGAAAAGACAAATAAGATATGCAAAGAATAGAAAGCTGGCAATTATCTGGAAGTATGTGTTTGTAGATTGTCATTACTAAACATTTCTAAAGGTGTCTTTGTTGTTATTTTAAAGATATGGGTAAAGATCCGCTTTAAGTACCTTTCCAGTGATCGCCAGATTTCTGAATGCCTAGCTACTAGGCCTCATATTGAGCATCAGTTTATCTTAACTGTGATCCCCCCAAGTACCTAGGCATTTAGCCATGTGACCAGCACTGCAGAGAACCTAATTAGCATTTTCTACACGTACGGTTAGCATTTAAAGTGTATTTCCACTTTTGCAGTCAAATTTGAGAAAACCCCCACTATATGTCTGTTATGCGTTCCCATTCACTCAACATAACAACAAATATTTGTAAAAAACATATTTACCTTTTAGGTGTTTTGTTGCAGCAGGCAACATGGCTGATTCCACTTTTTTTTCCTGAGCACCTTCACAGTGATCTGTCCTTATAGAAAGACTTAGGACTGAAATTTGAGTATTGTATTTCTCTCATTAATTTCATTAACATACAATGCACAAACCAGGGTTGTAATCCTTTAATTCTTTGTTACAATAGTTAGTGTTCAAATCTAGATAACAAATTATATGGAACAAACCCCTCACAATCCCTCCTAACATTACAAAGAAGGAGAAGCAAGTAGAAAGTATAACCCTTAAGAAGCCAAGAAATCCTAACCCAAACTGCAAGAAGCTTATACAATGTGAATGGGAACAAGTACCAAATATAAAATAAGTGTTATCCCAATTTGGCTGCAAAAGCGGAAATACGCTTTAAGCTCTTCTATTGCTCTTTATTTATCCATCCCAGCAAGACTGGTAACATTTGAGTACAGGTCCACTTTAAAGCCTAGCCACAGCCAAAACTTGTTATTGCTGTCTTTGTCACCATTAAGGGATAATCACATCATTGCACAGTCAGAGAATCTCCCCAACACTGACAACATAATACAATCTTAGAGGTTTCTAATGTGGTACCTCTACTTTGTGTACACACCCATATGTAGTTATGATCACTTGTCTCTTTTTGCTGAATTTGGTTAGCTTATAATATACTGTAAAATGTATCCTGTATGTTCTTGTGTCACAATTCAACAAAACAATAAATGTTACAGAGGTTCTAATACTTCCCCACTCGTCTATAAAGTGTTTTTGCTGTCCCTGTTATGTCCTGGTGACCACACAGGATCTGAGTGGAAATCTCTGCAATGGAGGAGTCATACCGCAATAATTTTAAAATGAAAACATTGTGCCAGTTGTGGCTGGAGTTTAAGCTCACAGTGATTCAGTGGCTTCACAAGGGGGGTGCGGCCCGCACCCGGGTGACACCAAAATGACTGATAGTCATTTTGGTGTCACTCCTTCTGAAAAGTCGGGCACTCGGTCATGGACCGAGAGCCCGACTGTTGCAGGAGAGAGAGGAGGGGACCCAGCGGCATACCTTTTCCTGCCAGGTGAACGTTCCCTCCTCTGTCGGTGTCCATCACCCAGATGGCCGCCAGTAGGTATCAAAAAGATGACTGTGCGTGCGTGATGACGTCATCGTGCACGGTGACATCACGGCGGGGTGTCACCTGGTATCTGCTCCGGGTGACACCCGGCCTCGGGACGTCCCTGCAGTGATTTAACAGCTAAACATGACATTTCAAATTCCATGTACAGCAAAAACCTGGCTGATAATGCGGTATATTTAAAATGTAACTCTCTCCTTTACTTTTCATTTCAGAAATTCATAACTGACGAATGTTTCTTCCTCGAGCGTCTAGAAGCAAACAACTACAACACTTACCGGTCTCGCAAATACAGTGACTGGTATGTGGCGCTGAAGAGAACTGGGCAGTACAAAAATGGATCCCAAACTGGGCCAGGACAGAAAGCTATCCTATTTCTTCCCATGTCAGCAAAAAGCTGATCTTGATGAACATTTGCATTTATGGAAAACAGGAATGATAGTTTTTAAAAATGGTTAGACTATAACTATATATTTCCAGTTTATAAATGTGATGTCAAGGATTAATACTATTCACCATTGTGCCAGTGTTTAAGAATTTCAAATGTTATATATATATATATATATTCATGGTTTAATATATTTCCAAGTAAAATGACAAATGTACGTAGCAATGCAAGTATTGCCCTGAGGTATTTTCCATTCCTGAAGAGTTCATTGGATGTAAAATAACAATAATCATAACACTGTTTCAATGTGAAGCTTGCTGGAGATCAGTTTTTGCTTCATAAGAACCTGGTAATTCCTTGTGGTACAGAGAGTAGAAGAAACCTGAATAAACAGCTGGGAATGTCCTCACAGTGAGGTCAATATTATGCAAGCCTTCCTTATAACCATATAGTAACAGCTTAGCAATTCTGCTGGTTATGGGTGTATTATGACTTGAGTAGGCAAGCTCCTGAAGGTCCATCCATTCACACCTCACACATTCATGAGGGCAGAAGTTTATGCTGTAAGACAATGGCTTCAAACGACATATAATGTACATATCTGACTTTCCAAAGGCCCCAGGGTGATTATGCTGCTGTCTTATGCTCAGGAGAGACTTAAACTCTGACTTAATGCCAGTCTCTTCTAGAACTTCTCGAACTGCTGTGGCTCCTGCAGAGTAAAAGTGAAACAAAGCCTTATGGGGTAGTGTTCCAATATAATTATAGAACCATTGTATTCTGTTTAGGCAATGTACATGTCAGTATCCGTGATACCTTACAAATGAACAATGCTGCAAACTAAATATGATACATTCCATGCTAGAATTTTACATTTGTGTTATAGCTGAAATCCTTGGGGCTCGGATACAAAATCTGACCACTGACTACACAATATCACTTCCTATGAATTCAAAGAGACATTGTCATTTAGCCATTCAGAACAAAGGGACAGTGTCTGCAGAAAGCCCTCACCAGTGAGGTATACTGCTTGATCAAAGCTCCTGTTGGAGTCCTCTCTCTGTTGCTCTAAATATTGCCATGCACAATAGCCTGATGGAGGAGATGTGTCCATCCATATTGTTTAGTGCGGAAGGAGAAATCTGTTTTTTTTCATTCAGCTAGTGTGCTAAATGTAATAATCTAACAGTGTATAGCCAGCTTTACAGAGTGGGGATCCTGGGTGTGAGGGTATTGGCCTGGGCACCAATCTCTAGACCCAAACACTGTCACGAAGGGAGGAGGGGGGCATTAACGGTCATCTCTGTTCACTAGATTAAGAAGCATTTACTTATTCGGTGTGTGATTCCTTTCAATTTATTAATAAGGGAATGATAATTTCTGTTCATGTTAAGGTGTGCTTATGAAGATTATAATATGTGTAAAGTTTTACAGCGCCCTGTCCCATGTGACCAAAACCACAAACAAAAGGCCCACTATGTTATAGAAGAAAAGTAACAATATACCAACCAATATCTTCTCCTGGATCAGACAATCCTCCTGGAAACTTCCATGCATTTAGAGTCTGGAATGAAAGAATGTTTATTTATTGTTGTCTATTACATTACTTGCACATCGCATTCAGAAGTCCTTTAAATGGAGTCTGGCATTTATTCACATGTAATCCCTCCCTTAGGTAAGGACTGCATCTGTTTTTCTTTAAAGTAAACCCATTATAAGAGACATAGGGGGCCGCAATGACCACTGACAACCGAGTCAGTGACAAAAACAAGTATGCTGAGAAAAGTCAGAATTCTTACTTGCATGCTCCTCCTGTCATTTTTTTTCGATCGAATGCCCAAAGTCAGTCTTTGGGAAATCAGATGTACATGGACATGTGTCCGGACCACCTCCGGCCAGGTCCGGAAAAACAAACGGATCAGAAATCTGTTTTGCCGAAGCTGATTGTGCCGGATCGGGGGTAATCAGATATAAATGGACCCGTGTCCGTTTACATCCGATTCCCCATAGACTGATATCGGTGCACAGATCCTCTCCTGATCAGCCCGTGTGCAAGGGGCGTTAGATATTCTGGAGAAAAATAAAATATATAATGTACATGTTACATTGACTAGTGTCTGTGGAGAGGTAAGGGGGAATGCTTAGCAAACATCCTCAGCATCAGCCGAAAGCTCCATTCACAATATTGCAGAAAGTCCCCGTTTTCATTTTCATGTTGGTTTTCTCAGCTGAGACAGATTAGGGTGCGTAATACTTTATTGTAAAGGTATTTCGTGAACCCCGTGGTCATCATTTTAGCTGAAAATGACTTGACTGGAGTTCCACTTAAAAGCTTTACATCTAGAAAATATGATCGCTGCGCTCCAGCTTTTATTTTGACATATTTGTGTGTTACAATCTTCTACCTATTTAAAGACTTACAGGCAACCAGAGATTTTTTTACCAAATAATGCTGCTAGTAATATGAAAGGGAATATATCACTGGTATAAATATATATTTAGCCTGTACATGTATTTTGAAAAATAAGATGCTACACATTAGATGAACGGAGTTGTAAAGTCCCAGCATACACTATCCTGATATACCATCAGCATTGTAATAGGAATACATACTAGAGTTGTACTATACTAGGCTTACTTGAAAAAATCCCTTTTATGTAGTGAGTGCTGCCTCCTGTCTGCCCATCAATTCCATCAACTTCCTGGATTCCCAATGTGCTTTCCATCTCCTTCCTTGCTGCTCGTTGCTGTGGGACTATATATTCCATCATGCATTGCTTCCAGCAATCAATGATGATGATATATTATTCAGACTTTGTGCTATAGTTCAGTAGGCTCTGTGAGAGTTTTGACATACAGAAGTGCATATTTACAGGGTTGAGGAAGTACATCCTATGGACATCTTCAATAAGTAGGTTTACAAACATCTAGATTGGCATGGTTATTAGGAGTGGGATAGAACTTATGGAACTTCAATATAGAAATTAGGAATGTACCGATACTAGTATCGGTGACGATGCCGAGTATTTGTGACGAGAAAGCATGGAGCCGGCTTCCCGGCCAATCAGGAAGGCGTGCGCCGCATCATTACACAGCGCCCGGGTTGCTGATTGGCCAGAAAGCCGGCTCCATCCTTTCTCGTCACTTAGTGACGAGAAGCATGGTGATGGCTTCTCTGCTAATCAGGAAGTCGGGTGGCAAGTCTTTACATTCTGCCTGGCTTCTCGGCTGATCAGTAAGCCAGGTGGCGAGTCATTACACACCGCCTGGCTTCCTGAATGGGACTTCTGGTACTCGGTATTCGGTACCAGCGAGTACCGACAAAGAAATATCGGTACTTGTGTGTTGTATGCCGGGTTGGCTTTTAATCCCTGTACACACAGCTGTTATAAAGTGACACTTGGAAAGGTTTTCCTTATGCTCATGGAAAGCTCCCTGATGCTAGGATAGATATAGTGTGCCATGCTGTATAGCTTAGCGAAGTAATCACTTCCTAAGACCTGAAGCATCAGGTTTTATTTAGAAATACAATTCTTCTCATTTTGAATTGCTCTCCCCATCCGGCCTCTTCACCTGGAAAGAGTTTGATGGTGAAATGAAATGTGGGGCAGGAGCCATCGATGCATTTCTACATTCATCATGTGTTTTCAAGCATTTTAGGGGCCCATATAAATCTTTGGGCTGCTTTAACATGTGTTATGTCACACATTAAAGTGTGTTGCATTAAGGCAGTCAAAATGAGTTGGCTGCCAATGCATCATAACGTGCTTCAAATTGCTAGAAACTACCATGCGTTGCGACATGCTACAATGCACATGCATTGCCTCAGTGCATTAGGGGGCCAAATGAATGGCACTGCAATGCATGTAATGTACGTTACCACAATGCGGACGCGTGAATGGGTGCTTAGAGCTGTGCATGCCAGTACACTTTCACAATAAATCTTATGGTCAATCTATTCTAGACAAGCAAGGCATGGAGCGGCTTTCATTTTACTGGGCCCTTAGAGCTAGTTGAACACATGTACCACAATCATGTAAACATAAAATAAAGCACACCGTTTTACTCATAATAAACAGCTGTACCACTGATAGAAATGTGATTTTTAAATATGGAAATGTTTTAGAAGCTGCTATATAAAGGGGTATATGTTCCTTGTATTGCCTATAATTTGGTCAAAATCACATATTTAATTATTTGGAGAATGTTGATTTGTAGTACTGTTCATTAGTGCACTGATTTCAGTGTTTTATTTTTAACATATTAAAGTGTATCTATTTAATTCAGTATAGCTTGATTGTGTTTTATTTAAATCAGTATTGTTTTGTTTTCCTTGCCTCTTTGATCTTTTATTAGACAAATATGAAGAACACTTAGGCCTAATTTACACTGCCGTGCATATACGCGCGTATTGTACCATATGCAACACATGCAAATAAATGGCTCCATACACATAGGCGCGTATGGAACAGTATATTTGCGTAGCGTATATATGCGCAAAAACAGAATGGAACAGAGGTGCGCCCGGGCAGCGTATTTCTGCGCACATACGCGTGTTTACGCGCATATACACACATACATGCGTACAGCACATTAAAAATTCCATTACGAGTGATGTATTCTGGGATTGCATATAGTGCACACATATACGCAATATACAATTTTGCTTGCGTTGTGTGTGAATGAGGCCTTATAGGTGTATTTATAAAACATTCATAGAACATTATGGCCACTAGATGGAGCTGAGGAGCCTAGGAAATTTCAAAGCTCATCATCGCCACCTAGTGGCCATAGTGTGGTAGAACTCTGAAAATCAGCTCTGTAGATGGTTTATAAATACACCCTTTAGACCCTTAGTTCTCAACTGGTGGGTCGCGACACCGTGTTCAGTGGGTCGCCGTATGCCTTCCACTGTGCTAGGTGAGAGGCTCCTCAGCTCCTCCTGTCAGTTCTCTTGCCAAGGAGCCATTCAAAATATGCTGCCTGGTGCCGAGTGTCCGCTTGAGGTGGGATGGGCTGGAGCTATGGATGTGAGGGAGCTCCGTCCACACGTACAACTCCCTTGCGTGTCCTGCAGAGGTGCCTGGACCGGAGTGATGTCACATTCTGGCTCCCGGCACCTCTACAGGGCACGCAAGGGAGCTGTACAAGCAATGCACATATGGATGGAGCTCAATCATAGCACAGCAGCCCATACTGGATCCCAAGCTGAGGATCAACTCCAGCTCTCGTAAGGTATAGAGACTGGGTGGATCTATTGAATGGCATCCCAAACATACCTCCTACCCACAGTTTGATTGCCCTCTTTGGAACATGCGGTACCGCAACCTTGTGCGTTCCATTGCAGTGCGACTTGGGTCACGACTTAATGACTGAGGACAAATGTGGGTCCTGAGGTTACACAGGTTGAGAACCACTGCTTTAGACTATACACACCACTAACTACAGTTAGTGGCAACCAAATCAATGATAAAATTCCGTGTATTATAGAGGAGTATTATATGTACGGTATGCTCTGCTGTATATCATAAAAACTTAAAATAAGCACATACTTTTATCATTTTAAATCTCATATAATCTGGATGTATTTCTCATTCTGAATTTTAGTATTTAGTAGAAACAAAAACAAGGTTTTCATTTTTCCCTGTATGCATTGCTTCTCACCTGAGTCCATTGTGAGTATTACTTTGCTTAAAGAGGATCTTTACCCTGATCTTTGAAATAACAACAAAGGTACCTTTAGAAATGTTTAGTAATGACCAGGTCTTGAAAAATCCACTCGTCTGTGACAAGAGGACGGTGGAGCCCGACGAGCAGCTTCCCGGACGGCCGTTGTAATTACACGGCCGGCCGGGAGCTTTAGAGTCAAGCGATCGGGCGCCTCTAGAGACGCTCGATCACTTGTATCAGCAGCTGTCACTGCCATTGCCGGTCCCGAGATCCGCTGTGCCCGATGCGGCCGGGACCGGCACGGCTCTGTGACAGGAGATCAAAGGGAGTTCAGTATACGAACTCCCTTTGATCTCCATTCAGTCCCCGAATGCAGGAAGTGATGTATATTACATCACTTCCTGCATTCAGTGTCACTCTCCAGCTACAGAAGCTGATGAAGCCGATCTCTGCTTCATCAGCTTCTCTGGGGATCCCTAGGTAACATTGACCCCTGATGTCTCCTAAAGAGGACCTGTCATGTAAATTGGCTATCCCATAGGGGGCTTCTTAGCACCCCATGTAATAGCAATAAAGTTGTGTGTAAAAATAAAAGTAATACAAAAATTTAAGAATCATAAAAAAAAATAAAGCATAACATTTTAAAAAAAAAGAAAACATTTTTTTAAGTTCCCGCCCCCCACATACACACACAAATATGCAAGTGAAATCCCATTATTTCCCCTACGCCCAAAGAAGTACAGGAGCTTCTTTGGGGCGTATTTCCGCGCGTATCCATTAGGATACAGCCGCATAGCCCTCGTAAGCGCGCGTTTGATGCGCGTTTCGTGGCCCGCAAATTGGGGTAAAAACGTGCGGCACGAAACGCGCATCATACGTGCATATTTTGATCAC